TAGTTGGAATTTCTTCAGTCATCCATCCTTGTGCTTTTAGGACTCTTGTGGCCGGGATCCTTTAGCCTTGAGTGCACAATTTTTGAGGGGGCGCGAACCTGTGGCCCCCACACAGGCACCCCCAGGACAGCTCCTCTCCTCCTGCCAAGGACCACATCGGCCAGCCAGGCACCCCCTGCATGTGTGGGCAGGTGGCTCAGCTTTGCTTTGGTGGGGTTGGGGTCACTCCGGTGGTGCCAACATCAAGGGCTGGGTTGGCACACACATGCCACTAGGTAAGACAATATCACAGGTGGACTGGTCCCAAGTTGTTGAGTGCTGTATATCCTAATTGATCCCCTTCCCCTCTTCCTTTTTCCTTTCTCCTTCTGTGATGGAACTCCTATTTGGGGACTTCCCTGGCTTTTTTCTGGCCCATGTAGGACCAGTCTGGATAGTTGGCCTTGGTGAAGACTTGACGTTTTCATCCTCAAAAAAGTTTTTGATTTGAGTTTCTACTGAAATGAGGCTGCATTTTAATGTTGTATTTTAATCTTGTTTTTAAGTTGTATTTCAATCATTTGTTTTTATAATGGTGTTAGCTGCCCTGAGTGTGGTCTTGGCTGGGGAGGGCGGGGTATAAATAAAATATAATAATAATAATACAGTGGTACCTCAGGTTAAGTACTTCACAGTGCTTTGAGGGAGGGGTGCTGAAGTAATATACAGTGGTACCTCGGGTTAAGTGCTCAATTCGTTCCGGAGGTCTGTACTTAACCTGAAACTGTTCTTAACCTGAAGCACCACTTTAGCTAATGGGGCCTCCTGCTGCTGCTGCGCCGCCGGAGCCCAATTTCTGTTCTCATCCCGAAGCAAAGTTCTTAACCTGAAGCACTATTTCTGGGTTAGCGGAGTCTGTAACCTGAAGCGTATGTAACCTGAAGCATATGTAACCTGAGGTACCACTGTAATAGGAACGCCTTTAACTTGGCCCAGTAGCAAATCGGCAATCACTGCTGATCTCTTGAGCACAGCTGTTACAAGGCCTCCTGACAGCAATTAGGCTGCAGCATTCTGCACTGACTGCAGCTTCTGGATCAAGCGCATAGGAAACCCCACCATTTTGCCCCTCCTGGTAAGCAACAAGGGGCTGCAGCTGGGAGGCTATTGCAGTGGGGAAAGCCATTACTTTAGGCTCTCTTGCATAGCTGGGGAAAGAAAACAGTGCCGTGAAGTCCCTTTGTGATTTGTTCTAGCATTGGACGTCTAACCACAGCAGAGGCATATGTTTCTCAGTTCACCTGTCAGCGAGCAAGGCTTGGGGCAGTCGTTCCCATGATCGCTTTGCCAACTGTTCTAAAGGACAAACTGTAACTTGCTCTATTATTGTAGTTTGTTTGTTTTCTTATATCTTAACACGCTTGGGTGGAAGTGTTCAGCCAGAGCCCCTGAAGGTTCCCAAAGGTTCTCCCATTCCCTGTGACACGGCTGCATCTCAGCGCAATGCATTTATTTATATTAGACATAAATCAGCGAACTGTTTACTGACAACAACAAAAAAGACGAAGTCGCAAGAGTCACAGAACAGTAATTTATCATGGGGTTCAGTGACTCAGAACATCGTAACATAAAAAGAAGGCAGTTGAAAATCTGATTTTGTAGCGATCGGCCAAACCACCTAAAGAGGAGGCAAAGCTGAAATGAAATACATGAATTTGGCAAGGTGCTATTCTCATCTTTCTGTGATTTGCAATAGTCTGTTCTCCAAGACCGAAGGGTATTTTGAACCCTTTTGAGTCTAATCCAAAGAGTCCTAATGGGCCCAGCCCAAGAAAATTTGCCGTCTCAGGTGGACAAGATGCTGCCCTCATAGGAACACAGGAAACTGCCTTATAAGGAGTCACACCATGGATCCATCTAGTTCAGTATTGTTTACACTGGCAGCAGCTGTCCAGGATCTGAGGCAGGGAATCTTTCCCAGCCCTACCTGGCGATGTTGGGTATTGAACCTGGGAACGTCTGTGTGCAAAGAAGATGCTCTGCCACTTTTCTGCCCACCGTTATTCTGCTTACAGAATAGACTGACAATTGAATGTCACTTCAGTACCAGGGAAAGCTAGGGATGGATTAATATTTCAATTTCACTTTCTCTCCATTTCTCATTTCTTTCTGTCTTCACTTCACTGCATTTCTGCATCAGTTTGCAAGGTTTTTAGAAGTCCTCATGAAAATTCAACTGAATTTTAGAATGCATTTCCTCTGGCACACACACACATTTTTTTGCATACATATTGTTGCAAGCTGGGAATTGTAGCTCTGTGAAAAATAGACTACAGTTCCCAAGATTTTTTTTGGGGGGGGGATGAGCTTTAGACGTGCTTTCTGGTTTATATGCTGCCTGAGTCTACGTAAGCTCTGCTTCCTGAACAACAAAACATTGAGCATGCTCTGTCTCCACATTTTAAAACATTTCTACAACCATGAGTACCAGAAACTGGCTCTTTTTATTATTTTTATAAAGGCAATTTTTTTTAAAGCAATTCACCTATCCGATCAGGCACTAGATACTGGAATCTTTATAAAATTCATTTGCACAGACACAGAAAACAAATATTCCTGGTCATAACGTTGAAGTGTAATGTTTCTAAATTTCTAAATCCCCTTCTCTTTATGCTACTCTTTTGTATTATATTTATTCATTTTCTTATTGTGCGATTCTCTTTCGCTCAGACACCTCCTTTGATTTGGATTCCATTTTATGGCCAAGAGGAGACGACGCCTTGTCTTGGAAGCATAAATCAGTTTCAGTATGTGAGCTCCCAATGTGATAAGACATATGGAAGAGGAGAAGGTGTGTTTGCTGGAGCAGATGTCTCCTTCGGTTTTGGTGATTGGTATGTATCTCACATATCTCTTTCCCGAGACTGCCCTGCTTTTAATCAAGAAGTCAAACATATACAGTAGCTTCACAATTATAAAATACCCAGTTTTGTAGAAAATAAGGAACGTAATGGAAATACGCCATTGGGGATGAACTGTGAGGCCATAAATGGCTTGTCAGATCAGCCTTGGCATTAAGATCTTGTGGGCAGAGCCTTCTTAGTGTCCAAGATTTTTGGAACCATGCACTATGTGTTGGTGCAAGGAAGAAACTTCTCTGTTCCACAACTGTGGAATGCAATCTCCTTTGAGGTCCACGTGATGGAGAGAACACCAGAATTAGCTGGCCTCATCTGTTATTAGTTCTCTTTCCACCTACCACTGGTCTCCTTGTTTTCCCACTTGTCACTGCAGCTGGCTGATTCTGTTTCTTTGCATCCAGCCAAAGTTGAATGATGTCATAACGATGCCATGTGATGGACAGGTAGGTACCTCCAGCCTCCTGCCAACTTTGGCCTGTGCAGCTGATCCTAATGACATGCCCTTCAACATTCCACCGACGAAAATTGGGACACACAACTTTTGGTGCTGGGCTTTTTCACCGACTCATTCTCCTCCCTGAGCTCGGTGGCGGGGCTGGAGGGGGGAAACAGGACATTCTGGGACCCAAGCAGAAGCCAGGATGGCTTCTGTAATTCTGGGATGTCCCAGGAAAATCAGGACAGCTGAGGGGTATGTAATAAGGATCTAGCCCATGGAGCCAAAAAAAGTTTCCCCACCCCTGAGTTAAAGGTGCTTTTCTCAGAAGCCTGACCTAGGGCCTATGATTTCATAATATAGTGCTTGTTGATCATTTTGTCAATAAAGGGGGTGGTGGGAATTATTAAGAAGTCTGACAAGACCCTCAGCAATTTGCCAGTGGTCCCCAAAACCTTGCGATTAGAGAGCCATTGAATTCACTGATTTGAATTCCCCCAAAGCAGAACAGATTTGTAAGCTGCTTTGGCTTCTGTTATGGGACGTGGGTGGCGCTGTGGGTTAAACCACAGAGCCTAGGACTTGTCGATCAGAAGGTCGGCAGTTTGAATCCCCGCAACAGGGTGAGCTCCCATTGCTCGGTCCCTGCTCCTGCCAACCTAGCAGTTCGAAAGCACATCAAAGTGCAAGTAGATAAATAGGTACCACTCTGGCGGGAAGGTAAACGGCATTTCCGTGCGCTGCTCTGGTTTGCCAGAAGTGGCTTAGTCATGCTGGCCACATGACCTGGAAGCTGTACGCCGGCTCCCTCGGCCAATAAAGCGAGATGAGCGCCGCAACTCCAGAGTCGGTCACGACTGGACCTAATGGTCAGGGGTCCCTTTACCTTTACTTTACTTTACTTGGCTTCTGTTCATTTTTATACCAACTAACCAACCAACCAACCAACCAACCAACCAGTAAAACACGCTTGCTGCTGATATCTATATCTATGTCTCAGTCTATGTCTACATTAAGATTCATTATTGTGACTCTTATGATCAGTGACTGGTGAAAAACGAGAAGTCAGAGTTCATTAGCCATATCCTAAGAATAAATATGAGCTGCCATAGGCAAGCTATGAAAAGCGAGGCGTTTGTTTCTGGAGTTATTTCTGTATTACACCGAGTAGTTCAACCCCTGGAAATTGGGATCACTCCTGGCTTAATAGAACTTTGGCAAGGACACCAAGGATAAAGTCAAGTGTCACAAAACGTAGCGTCAGGAGATCTTTTATATCCCTTCAGGGAGGAGGAACATCTGCTTACCATCCCAATGACAGCCTTGCATTTATCCTTAAAGAAGTAAAGTGCAACGTTATCTGCTCCCAAGCACCATATTTGGGATTTTATTGATGCCGTTAAGATAGGCTATTTATGACCATCAAATAATTTCCAAAGGGGTGCAATGGGGGAAGCCTCTCATTTAAAAAGCAGTGTGGTGTCAAATCTCATCTTTTGCAGTAACGTATGAAAACACAACATGGCAGGAACACACAGGAAGCTGTCTTACACAGAGCCAAATTTAGTAGTCCCTCTAGCTCAGGCATGTCTACACAGACTGGCAGTGGCTCTTCAACATTTTCAGGCAGGGGCCCCCTGCCAGGGGGTATTCCCAGTCATACTTGGAGGGGCCAAGGATTGAACCTGTGACCTTCTGCCTGCAAAGCAGATGCTCTACCATTTCTACCATTGAGCTACAACCCTTCCCCAGCTTTTGTGCTGGCAAGTAATTCCATGTCAGGGAATGGCTGGAGGACGAGGAATGGTGGGAGGCCCCAGCCGAGGAACTCCCTAGGGAAGCCATGCAGGAAGAAGACTCAGACCCAGGAGAATGGTGGTGGCAGTGGCAGAGGACTAATAATAATAATAATAATAATAATAATAATAATAATTTATTATTTGTATCCCGCCCATCTGGCTGAGTTTCCCCAGCCACTCTGGGCGGCTTCCAACAAAGATTAAAAATACATTAAAAAATCACATATTAAAAACTTCCCTGAACAGGGTTGCCTTCAGATGTCTTCTAAATGTCAGGTAGTTGTTTATCTCTTTGACATCTGATGGGAGGGCGTTCCACAGGGTGGGCACCACTACCGAGAAGGCCCTCTGCCTGGCTCCCTGTAGCTTTGCTTCTTGCAATGAGGGAATCACCAGAAGGCCCTCGGCGCTGGACCTCAGTGTCCAGGCAGAATGATGGGGGTGGAGACACTTCTTTTAGGGTTTTAAAGGTCAACACCAACACTTTGAATTGTGCTCGGAAACGTACTGGGAGCCAATGTAGGTCTTTCAAGTCCAGTGTTATGTGGTCTCGGTGGCTGCCCCCAGTCACCAGTCTAGCTGCCGCGTTCTGGATTAGTTGTAGTTTCCGGGTCACCTTCAAAGGTAGCCCCACACAGAGCGCATTGCGGTAGTCCAAGCAGGAGATAACTAGAGCATGCACCACTCTGGTGAAACAGTCTGTAGGCAGGTAGGGTCTCAGCCTGCTTGGGTGCTTGGGGCAGTGCTCCCAGGGGTGGGGCGAGCCACCCATAGGGGCGGGGCACACCTTGTGGGCCTGTGGAGTCTGCCTGCCTCCTCCCACTCAGCCGCCCTACAGCTGGGGGGGGGGGAGGCAGCGGGCGGACTGTTTGGGCAGCGCGGAGCCTGTGTGGGCCCAAGCCACCATGTCTCTCCCAGGAGAGACGCGTGGCTCAGGCGTGCTGCAGGCCCTGTGGTGAGTGCTGCCTGGCATTTTGTCTCCCCCCCCAGGGGTGGCCTGCACCCATCGCCCCCCCCTTCCTCTGCCCCTGGGTAGTGGGACGCAGAAGACAGATCAGAGGAAGGAGGAAGCTGGGAGGTGGAAGTCACAGGAGGCTTGAGTGAACAAGAAGCACCAAAGGCAAGGAGGGCTGGATGCAGAAGGACACACATGGAGCTCAGGATCTGAAGGAGAGGACAGGGCATTGCAACAGCTTCACAGCAGCTGCCCGGTCCCTCTGCCTTGAGCTCCCCTTCCCCTTTTACTCCAAGGTCACACAGAGTTTTACACGTAGCTGAACAGAAAACTAGAAAAGCCCAAGCTGGGAGATGCTCCTCCCCGCCAGAGACTGTCTGCTTGGAAGACGTCCAGAAGAGGAATGGTAGCAGGAAGAGGAGATGTCAAGAGCAAAGCTGTGTGTGTTAAAGATGGCTCAGAACCCATTGAAGATTACTGGTCCAGATTACTCAAGCCAGTGAAAATTTGGGGGTCTTGTCTGCCAAATTGTTCAAGGGGCCTAATAATTCAGTTGAGCTGTGAATCATGAAACCCTTTCTGTCTCATGAATATAAATTCCCTTTTCAACGGTGTGTTTATAATAGAGTTACATTATTCATTATGGGATTGGCAGATTCTATATACAGCGTGGGGGCACAAACAACAGCACCCCCTCACATTTAAAAAGCAAGAACAATTTTCTGGCAACATAGAAATGATTGAATATCTAGGAAGATAGATGGTTTCATTTTAACTCCTGCTGACATGCAATATGTCAATTAAAATATTAGCATAATTTTTAATTCGGGAGATTGATTTTTTGGGGGGGTTGTTGCTTTGCTTTATTTTAATGTAATCCATCATTGTTTGCTCCCTGAGAGGGACAGGGTATGTTTATTTTGTTTTATAGCCCTGGTCCAAAATGGCATCTGCCGAGTGAATCATGAACTTCCAATTGCCTCTTCTTCAGCAGTTTGTCCTCTAATCTGATCGAAGTGAAAGCTAGCACCCCTCAGAGGAAGAAGGTGGAACTGCAGGTCTGGGGGGTACATAATTCCTCGTTATGCAGATGTATTCTGGAGTTAAAGGGAGGGAGCATGAGGATCTGGATAATACCTGCCTAAACAGAGGCTAAACCTGGGCCAATACTTTTCCATCCTTTCATTAGCTACTTAAAAGCTACTCAATACTAGCTGATCATTGCAGGCATTTAAAGCAGCTTGATATAGACGGCTTGATTCAAGTGTTCTGGAACTAAGTAAAAAGATGCATTAAGAGAACAATGGGATGTGAATTAACCTTTGCCCCCCCCAAAATGATATTGTTTGAGCTTTTTCATTCATGTGCATTAAAATCACACTGGCCAATGGTTTCCAATTCATTAACAGATGCAAAACTGGATTGTCATGAATATCTGAGAAACACAAAGGCATTGGCAGTTATAGGCTGGATAAATAGGTTTTGGCAGTTAGCACAGCAGTTAAGAAATTAGTGAGATAGTAAGATTAAGGGATGGCAGGCAGTGGAACTCTATATTTGTAACAGAGTGGTGTCCCCTTACTGATTACTGGAATAGGAATTATGGTGTTGAAATTTAGATGAATAAATATAAATACCCAGTGTTGAAACCGTGAAAAAGGCAAATTCCATTCTAGGGATTGTTAGGAAAGGAATTGAAAGTAAAACTGATATCATTGTACAAATCTATGGTTTGACTACATCTGGAATACCGTGTACAGCTCTGGTCCCCACTTCTTCAGATACAGTGTGCATGCACACGAAAGCTCATACCTATTTTGTTTCGACTACGACAGACCAACACGGCTACCTACCTGTAGCCTGAGGGATGGCAGTCAACCAATGCACCCAGATCTACAGCTCCCAATAAAGAAAAGAATTGCAGAGAGACCAGCCACAAGAGGAACTGCAGAGTCCATGCCTTGTGTAACAAGGTCCTTGGGTTCGACTCCCAAAACCTTTAGTTAAAACTGGTGTGGGGAATCTTTGGCCTTCCAGATGTTGCAGAACTGCAGCTCCCATTATCCCTAGCCATTGGCCATGCTTGCTGGGACTGTTGGGAATTGTAGTTCAGCAACATCTGGAGGGACCATACCAAGGTTCCCCATACCTGAGTTAAAAGGCTCAGGTAGCATGGGATGTGAAAGACCACAGAGTCTGAGATTCTGGCATAGCAGATAATATTGAGCCGGAATCTAGACGGGCAAATAGTAGTTTGATCTTGCACAAGCGTCAGCTCACAACAAGGCTTGGCAGACTGCTTTCTCCTATTCCCAAAACTACACACACTGCTCGGGTAAAAAGGAGTACAGGCCCCAGTCTGCTGAAGAGCATTTGGCTGCATGGTGGGCTTCCATGAGCCAGCTGGGAAGTCAAAATGAGTCACAGCTGCAGCTGCTCTTCTTCTGTGTGCCAGCCACTCAACCAACCAACCATGCTCTTTTCAGGGATGCTATCTGCTGTAGGGGTCTTGGGTAGGGCAATCCAATCCCACATCCCATATTTCCATTTTCTCCCATCTGACAGTCAGTGATCTGTGGCAGTTGGTGGCCACCGAGCATGCTCAGTCCTCACTGTAGTGAATTTCTTTGTGTGGGGATCTGAGTATGATGATACTTCTCCATGTTTCTCGCTGGCCCAATTTCAGTCCCGTTCCTGTTGCTTTTAGAGGGAATTATTATTACTATCTGTGAAATAGCTTCATGCAGCAACTATTATTACCACATGATTAGCTCTGTCTATGTGATGTATAGAGTCCAGATCAAGGGAATTAATAGTACCAGTCTATTCTGCGTTGGTCAGGCCATACCTGGAATACTGTGTCCAATTCTGAGCACCACAATTTAAGAAGGATATTGACAAGCTAGAATGTGTGCAGAGGAGCGCAACCAAGATGATTAAGGGTCTGGAAACTAAGCCTTATGAGGAATGCTTGAAGGAGCTGGGTATTCTTAGTCTGGAAAGGAGGTTCTCTTTGCTGTCTGATGCTGAAGAGGAGGGAGCTGAGTTGAGCTGCTCCGAGTGTGTATATGTAAATAAATGTAGTTTAGCAAAAACTGCGCTACTGAGTCTGAACGCTGACTGCCTTTCCTCTGCTGATCCTGAAGTGTGCTGATGCCTCTTGGTATCAGTCGCTGTGATGTTCGGGCTGGAGAAAGCTTTTGAATCTCCCGAACGAACGACTAGGAGGGAGAGAACATGCCAGTTGGGCATGTGTCTCTGCTGGATTCCTACTCGTGTGTAGGACCTCCTGACACCTTGAAGGTTTTTAAGAAGAGGAAGGATGACCATCTGTTGTAGATGCTTTAGCTGAGATTCCTGCATTGCAGTGTCTTGGACAAGATGACCATTGGGGGCCCTTCCAGCTCTACAATTTTATGATTCTATGATGGCCAGCATGCAGAATAGTGATATTTTGCCACGCCACTGCAGCCTTTCTTTGGGGATGTCTGCTTTGGCATGGCCAAATTTTCGGCTGGCCCAGTCTTCAAGGTGGCACACTGTCTGCACCCAAACAGCATGGTATATGGAACAATTTAGTGAGAGCTCCATGTGGCAGTTATTTAATAATCCAACAGGCCCCCCCAGAAAACACAGAATCACTGAACGTACAAATGTGCAAGAGAAGAATGGTAAAGATACAGATAACTTGAATTTTGAAATTTTGTCAGTGTTATGATTCAAGCTGCTTCTAGTTTTAGAGAGCATGAAAGAAGACTGCATTTAAAATTCAGAACTCGGGCTCCAAAATTGCTCAGTATAGAAACATTTCAATCCATATCTCACATTGGAAAACAATTATTATAGTTCCTGACAGATGTAATATTCTAGCTGTAATCTTATTAGTAGGAAACGTATGAATGAGACAAGCTGCAGTCAGGATGAATTTACTGCCAAGACCAAACTATTTATTTACAATGATACCCAGTTTTCGCAAGGGCAGATGGTTTAATTC